CGAAGTGGCACCAGTACAAGAAGGCTAAAACTACTCTTATTTTTCTCGAGTATTTTTGATGTGTTTCTTTCATTTCTCTCATGTGGAGCATTTTTTCTAGCTGCTTTTTTGGGAAGAATGTATTTTTCTAAAGAGCGCTCTCCTTTAAGTGGGCGTGTTAGAGCAAGCAGCAACAGAAAGCAAAGAAACCAACAAATACGAACCATAAACGAACATCTTTGAGGTGCCTTTGGACTTTGTGCCCCTAGTAAACTCTGCATTGGGGCTTGTGGGTGTAAAGTAAACAAAGAGTCAAAACGTCTTTCAAAATCACTGCTGGAGGAGCAGACAAAGAGCCGTAATAACAGCTGAAAACGCACAAGCGTATCAAACTCTCCATTATGTTTTGAACCACTGTAAACAGGCTGACAGACTGGCACCGCGGTGAAATATGCAGCTTGTTTTGTTTAACGGGCCTACAAAGACTCCCGCCCGACATCAAAACGCCCGTGCAGAAGTTGGTACAAAGCTGTCCCAGTCGATGTAGGGAGGCGCCTGCGAGTTTAAGTCTCAGCGGTAGTCCTGTGTGAGATTGCATGTTTGCTTTTCTTCTCCACGCTTTCAGATTTCTTTAAACTCTAGATGAAACTGCAGAGTTGTGACAAGCAGCACTGCCTCTTCTCCCCTCAGCCAGGACCTCCCCTCCCCTCCCTCCCACCTTCTTTTTAGCATTTCTGGCTCCGCTCCTGTATGCAGGTCAGGGTACTTAATTCATGTCCAGAGACATCCTTTCTACATTGCCCAACACGCCGTGCGAGGGAAGCCGACCAGACTGAGCCGGTGCGATACGGGAGAACGCTGAAAACACTCCCCGACGGACCCGCTGATAACCCTCCTCCCAAACCACAGCTGAGGAACGCTGGCGGCCTGGATATCGCCCAGCCGTCGAGGAATAATGAGAACAAAAGCATAACACACAGTCGCCTTTCTCTTCTTCCCCCCCCACCTCTCCGCGCTCCATCCTCTGTTATCCATCTTGTGCCATGTCCTTCTTACACTCGCCAACAACTGGCCTCAAACAGTCATTTCTCCCTTTATCTTACAGTTAACCCGCCACAAAGACGTCCAGCGGTGCAGGTTCTCTGTACCTTATCTGTGAAAGGGGATTTTATTGGAATCAGGGATGCACTAATGACGGTTCCAGTTCCAGCCTTCTTTTATTTCCCTCCACTTAAAACTCTGCAAACTAGTTAACAAGACAAACAGGTTTTGCACAAGTTGGTATTTTAATTAAACTGGTGCAATAAGCATTCATGAGGCACCAGAGACAACAAAGAGACATCAGCCAGTTTGTTATTGATACTAAGGAGGAACAGCAGCAGCACAAAGGCCTCTTTTCTGTTTTTTACTTAACTTACACCCTATATATATATATATATATATATATTCTCTCTGTATAAGAGATTGAATTATTGAAAGCAGGTCGTTTTGTATTTCAAACACCAGCTTCTGAATGTTGATTATTCCCATTAGCTGTTTGCATTTGAAGCAGCAGCAGTAGACTCCATCATACAGTGAGGCTGAGTCGATTGGCCGCATGGTTTTGCTGCTTTTGGCTTCAATGTGTCATAATTACCATAAATCTATCTTCATACCCAATAACCATAACTTTTACGATACAAATCTGATTTTACTGCATCCTCACAAGAATAAACCACGGCTATAACTTTCTCACAGCCTTCAATATAAAGAAATTATGGGTATAACCAATGGAAAGCTAATAAACGCCTTATAGTTAACAGTTTTAGAGCTTCCGCTTTGTGTGCAGATAAGTCAGAAGGAGCTGTCTGACCAAATGAAGTTTGTTTTTTATGTTGTTACAGTTAAGCCCAAAATTAATATTGTTTCCTTTCAACCAGGAGACAAGAAGAACAGGCATCTTTTAAAAGAAAGGGATCCATTTTGAAACGTAAACTCTTACTCCTTTTAAACTGCTGAATTTTTTTTGTTGTTTTTTGTTTTTTTATAATGGTGATGAGCTCCAAGTGAGGCTAGAAGGCCATATTTTATTCAGGAGTGGGCCTAACTCACTGGCTAAAGTCTATGGAACAGGATTAAAGACTGAAAAAAAAGGGAAAAACCAACAATTCTGACTTTCCTCTTATAAATCAGACTTTAATCTCACAGTTATGACTTTAATCTCAGAATATTATTATAGAATTAGAGCTACTTGTGATATCGAGGTGATAATCTTGGGCTTTCGAAGTCCTGAGTAATTTTACTTTCAAATCTGAAAGTCTTATCCTAGTGTTTTACAGAGGATTGTTTCTGTTTTCCCTTAAAATATTGAAAACACATTAAAGATAAAAACCAAAAGCACTCAGAAAGCATAGATCTCTGCTAAAGAGCTATTTTTCCTGCCTCACAATCTGGTCAAGCTTTACATTAAGGATCCCACTATGGATGGCTAGTAAAGACTTTTTAGATATTTTGAATAATAAAAAGTTATGCATAAGTTATAAAGTGTTAATTAATAACATATTTACAGGTAATTTATGAGGGAGTCCTTTCTGTAAAATGGAACAGGACAAAATGTTAGATCTGGATCATGTTTGGATCACTTCCAAAATGTAATTTGTGACATGTAAGATCATTGTCATATTATCTCTGACTCATCTTACGTGTGATTAAAACAAAATCTGAGCTTCTTAAAGTAGCTGAAAGAAGCAAAACAATGTCTTGAAGGAAAGCACTGTTTTCTGATACAGACTGAGGTCTCACATTTAAAAAGGTGACCCAAGAGGTCTCAGAACCTCTGCTTATTCTTATTATTAAGATCTGAGGGCAAGGAATGAAAATGGAAAATCCTAAATTATAATCCAAAGTCTCCATAAAAGTAATTCATAATTACTTTTATGGAGACTTTAGATAAAGAAAACAACAGTTATTCTACAGCACTACCCAGCTCACCCCTCACATATTTTTTCAGTTTTTTTTTTATCAATCAGGTAAAACTTCATTGGTCATTAGACACACAATACTCCTGACACTGTACAAGCAAGCTGTATTATGTCATTACTGTTGTCTTGGCAACCACAATGTTTTAAGTCATTGGGAGAAATTCGTCCAATCACATATCGTAGCGTCACTGGGATGCACAGGACCCTAAGCAGATCAGACCAGCTTCTACTACAGAGGAACTTGATCTCCACAGACAGCTATAGACTCGCTCAGGGGTCTGCAACCTGCGGCTCCAGAGGCACATGTGGCTCTTTGGATCCTCTCCAGTGACTCTTAAAATGTATATAAAGAGCTAAATAATTTACTACAATAAATACTACTATTGAAAGCTTCAGTGTTTTTATAAGATGGAAAAGAATTATATTAAAAGAACCAGAAATATGTTTTAAGAGCCATTTTTCCTTTGAATTAGCCTGGAAATTATGTGTTTTAATATTATTTTAAAAGCTAAAATTCTATAAATTTCCTTTACCCGCAAAATAAAAACAAATAACGTTTTTTTTTTTTTTTAAGTTATATTTTGCGGCTCTAAGGAACTTTTTCTTGGTGGCACTCGAAGCAAAATGGCTCAACTAGCTTGAGCTAAATGTCTTTAGTTACTTTTTCCACAGCTTTGTCGCCCCCTAGGGGAGGCAGCCTCACACTGTGGCAAGCCCTTCTTCTTCTAACGGTTGGCAAGCAACTTATTGATGTGCATTACTGCCATCTACTGGTATGGAGTGTAGATTTGGATGCTACGTAAATATTTCCCCCCAAAAAATTTAAAATAATAATTAAATAAATAAAACTTATATCTTACTTATCTTTTCGCTTTCGCTTTCTTAAGTTAATTAATTAAATAACAAAAACATTTAGAAGTAGAAAGTCCAAAATATCTTTTATATTTATCTGTAATCTATTTTTTTTTATCGATATACATATTCCCTTCTCTCAAGAGAATATTTCGGCCCCATCTCACAGTTTTCTGGAATCCTTTAAAATGTCCTAACCCACCAACATGTAGCTGGTTCTAAGTTGGGCTAAGACGCCTGTGGTATAGACTCCGGAACAATCATGAAAAATAGTCTCTTTGTTATGTTTTTAAACAATTAAAAGATGAACGACTGGAAAAACGTCCTACTCTATCTCTGGATCTACCAGCCGTTTAAGCTGAAAGCCAATTCTGGTCACCAGCTTCCACTTGCAATTCATTCCTGCATCTTTAAATTCATCTTACAAAGACCTGCATTAGTTCAGGGTCTCCTTTTTGTGTTCTCTTAACAAAACATGTCAGAAGCACAAAGACGCAGCTCCGTTCTCCGTATTAAAGCCATGCACTCCATAAGGTGTTGATTCCAAGGCTTAATTCTGCTCTCGTCATGCTGTACAAGATGTAAGTTCAATACAGGGGATGTGGAAAACGTCTAATCTGATATTTATCCAGTTAGGCAGCCCTCAGCCGGCCTGTCAGTCAGTTCACTGACAGCTGCTGTGTGCCCCTGAATCTATATCAGAGCTTGTGTGGATTTAATTTGATCATTTCTGTCTTGTTTCTCTCTGTTTTTTTTATATGCTTGAAGCTCTTTAGCCTGGAGTACTTTTTATCTAAATGTTTAATATTTCCTTCTAAATAACAAGGGCCAACCTTAAAGGAAATGGTTTGAAAAATAAAATCTGAATAAAAAATTGATGCATTCGCTGTTGGACTCTGGCTGCATTTAGACCCAGAGCATCAATTTAAAAAACAGAAAATTTGCAATTTATAAAGGAATGAAAAGCAAAGCAGTTTTTAGGATTTCAAACTTGATTGCAGATTATTCTGTAATTTTTAATCATGATAAAATCTTTTTAGTAGAGCTTTTTCTTTTTGCCCTTAAGACCTAATCTTTGTTCAGTTTGAGCTGTCCTGCCTCTTTGAAAGCAATCTGAACCAGCATAGTTAGGCTTCACTCCTCTGCAGGAACAGACCGCTGCTTCTCCGCCCGGTATTGACAGCCTGTTTGTCTCTGTGTCCGTTCCAGGTGCTGATTGCCGACCAGTGTGAGTCCGAGCGGCCTTTCCTGCCTCAGCGGCTCGCAGCATGAGAACCGGGCTGATACTCTGACCAGGAAGCGGCAGACACGGACCACTGGGGTGGCGTAAGGCAGAGGTTTGTTGCTGTGTGGCCATGGATCAAAGGAGACTCTGTGCTCTTGTGATGCTGTGGGCCGTGGTCCACCTCAGCTCTCCGGGTTACGGCCTCAGAGCCCTGCGAAGGACTACAGGGGGGCGGAGGGGGCCGACGGGGCTGACAGGACAGGATGCCAACGGAGTCCCGCTCAGACGCTCTAAACGAGGCTGGATGTGGAACCAGTTCTTTCTGTTGGAGGAGTACACTGGGACGGACATGCAGTATGTGGGAAAGGTAAACCTCTCCTTCTGTTCATCCCATGTTTCTGTTAGGACTACTTATTAATGCTGCCTGAGTGATAACAGAGCTCCTCTGGCTGATTGAGGTTTGATTTCTGTTTAACAATAACAAATGAACTGGTACATTAAATGTGAGGCCAGCATCTGTTTTATTAAGCTCAAATGATCAGGCTTTGTTAAACACACATGAAAAAAGAGGAATTATCTATTAGCCTGCTACAGATTCAGCAAGAGGGAAAAAATTTACTTTAATTTTCAGTAACAGATCTTTAGGTCTTTAACAAAACAGGTAAGCCGGAGGTCTTCAACAGGGGGTCTGCGGAGGTACTGCATGGGGGTCTTAAAGTTTTGGTTGATTTTTTTTTTTTTTTTTTTTTTTATATTCCCTCTGCAATTTTTACCACTAATTGAAATGTCTTTAAATCCACATTAACATGAATTCAACACACTGTAGTAAACAGATAAATGGAGGCAGAAGATGTCTTTCAGTCATCAATGCACACATTCAGCGACACACGGGAGCTCTTTCAAGCTGGACACCGTTTCATTCACAACACCTGTCCCATAAACCAGGAATCACAATCAGTTTGATAGAACACTATTTCATACAATATATATAATTAGGGGGTCTCGCCATCTCGAATCAGGTTGGGGGTCCTTGGCCTGGAAAACGTTGAAGACCCCTGAGGTAAGCAAAAAACCTGATGGCATCTAAGGATGAGAGTTAATTTATGGGTTACATATTCTCATTCAAAGCAGAGAGAAGATATCATAATAGCAGCCTTAGAAAGAAATGTCCAGGCTTTAGGTAAGCAGTCCAACCCACATATCTACTTTACATTCATTGTATAAAACAACAGAATGGTCTGAGAATTGTGGACCTGGATCAGTTGGGTTCATCCTCGGCTACAACTTCCACATGCCTGAAGTGCCTCGTTTATCTGTTTATCTGTCTAGAGACGGTGGGAATGTTCAGCATTCGTACGCTTCAGGAAGGAGAACACTGGTTCTCTCTTCCAAAGATTGATGTTTTGATTTTTATATATATAGAGAATAGAGTGGTAATTATCCCACAGTAGAGACGTTCAGTTATATCAGAGACATGGAAAACAGGCAAATTAAACAAAATATTAAAGAAACTTTAAAAAAACTATAGATTGTTCATCAATGGAAAGGGGAAACTGTGTCCAGTTATTAGGAGCAAATAAAAAAATGTTCAAGATAAATACAACAGTCTGTTAAACAAAAACAAAAAAACAAAATACTATGTAAATAATACAATTGTATTAGTGTATTAAAAAAAAAACTCCAGACAAAAAAATGCCTTTGAAAGATGTTTATAAGGCTGGTAAGAGTGTCATTATCCACAGTGTAACAAGTCCTGTACTAATACAGCCTTAAAGCTACAGTGTGTAACTTTTAGCGACATCTAGCGGTCAGACTGCAGCAACATGAACATCTCCCCCCACCGCTTCTCCCCCCCCCAACAGTATGGCGAGCGTTACGGGACAAAATGTCTTCCACGACGTCGGCATCACCTACCTTCTCAAGTGATGAGGTTTGTTTACATAGATACATTTTCTGCAGTGTGTATAAATATCTGCTTTCAGTTATAAAATGTTCTCTATTTACCTCTTTCAGCAGCCTTGCAGCAGAATTAACATTGTATTTTTTTTATTATTGTGTTATTTACTGAGAACAAGTTAAAAACGCATTTAAAGTTCAAAGAGTTTTGGAGACCACAGGAGGAAAGAGGAAGTATTGATTAGGGCTACCAAGATGGCAGGAAATAAATTGATGAGTTAATCACAGTACTTTGTGGTTGGAAAATACCTTCATTATCGCCAAACTTTCTTCAGAGTGATGGCAGTGGAAAAGAAAATGTTGGGGCCGATGGCGGATTTGTCTTTCATTTTTCATTGCTGTGCATTTCCCGTTTCCGGAGGACATTGCTTCTGGCTTTTGACTCGACACTTTTGACGTCTTCCTTTCTTGATCTTTTTACAATCCTTTTTCATTTCATTTGTGCCGGCTCTAAACTTTAGACACAGCTGAGTGGGAACAACTAACATCTTTTCGCCACACTCTGTTGAATTGCTTTCTAGAGTTTTATAATCCTTTCCATTATTTCAGCTGACAGCTCTTTTGTTGGGGCCATACTTCCTGTCAGTGACGCCGTCGCAGCAGCTTGTTTTGTCTTCGTTTCAAACTTTGGAACAGTTTGAATATTTACATCTATGCAGACTTTTGTTTCAGAAATGCATTTAAATGGTGTACATACCTCTAGGAGGCGCTCATCTATTTATTGATCTATTTCTTTTCAAGTTTTTTGCTGGCAAGGTTCATGTCACTTTGATGGTCCTGATGAATGCCTCCATAAGCTTTTACCACTAGAGAAGTCACTTGTTAACATATTCCTTAAGAAGGTGACATGGCAACATCATAAAAAAGTAAAAAGAAACCTTCTGGTTAATGGTTATTCATGCAGACACGTCAGGGTAGTTTTACTTACTACCTTTTAGAAAATGCTTATTTACACAAAGAATCAGAAGTACAGTGCTGTTGGTTCAGTAGGCTCGTCAAGGAAACAAATAAAGGGTTGCTTTATACCTGAGCACATGTTGAATGTTTAAATGTGGAACCAAGTGCACAAAGCCACGTTCTGTAGGACAGCTTTAAAAAGACGCACCAGGCCAAAACAGGCTTTGGCATTGTCCGCATGTCCGGACTTATCACTATATAGTGGTTATCTCATTTTAAATGAGTGTCCGAACGTCCAGTGCAGAGGTCACGGATTAGCAGACNATATTAAGGTTAAGAGGCTGAGCTCGTAGATGATGATAAAATAACATAGTTATGTATAATATATTACATTTCTGACTGTATATCCCTGTAATTATCACACACTGTAGCTTTAAAGGCCACTCTGAGAGGAAGAAGCCACTATTGCAAAGGCAAGAAGTAAGATTGGAGTTTTGAAATTCACTTTAATTTTTGGTGACATGTCCTCTGGTCTGATTGGACTGAATGTTTTGAATCCTACTAACCTAAATGTGAAGTACGGAAGACGTAGCATCATGTTTGGGGATTTCGCAGCACTTTGCATATTAAGACATCTGCTAGGAAGTTAAAGCTTTGGTATGAATCAGTCTTCCAAATGAACCCTGAGCCAAAGCATGCTTCCAAAGTTTTTTCAGAACAAGGAAAAAAGAAAAAATTGCAAAAGGTTGTTGGAGTGAAATGTCCTGCGAATCTGACCCAGCTTGATCGGTTCTGTCAGGAGGAATGGGCCAAACTTGAGGAAGGACAGAACCCAGAAAGTTTATGAAATATTCAGGGAATTTATGAAATTATTTCTGAATGTTTAAAAATTCCTCTGTGAATATAGTAAAATTTACCCCCCCCAAAAAATAATGTTTAATGATCCAAACACACCAAAAACAGAAAAAAAAACTTTCATTTCAGTTCCATTTGATTCCAGACAGTAAGAGAAAACAGTTTGTTTTCTGCAGTGTGTATAAATATCTGCTTTCAGTTATAAAATGTTCTCTATTTACCTCTTTCAGCAGCCTTGCAGCAGAATTAACATTGTATTTTTTTTATTATTGTGTTATTTACTGAGAACAAGTTAAAAACGCATTTAAAGTTCAAAGAGTTTTGGAGACCACAGGAGGAAAGAGGAAGTATTGATTAGGGCTACCAAGATGGCAGGAAATAAATTGATGAGTTAATCACAGTACTTTGTGGTTGGAAAATACCTTCATTATCGCCAAACTTTCTTCAGAGTGATGGCAGTGGAAAAGAAAATGTTGGGGCCGATGGCGGATTTGTCTTTCATTTTTCATTGCTGTGCATTTCCCGTTTCCGGAGGACATTGCTTCTGGCTTTTGACTCGACACTTTTGACGTCTTCCTTTCTTGATCTTTTTACAATCCTTTTTCATTTCATTTGTGCCGGCTCTAAACTTTAGACACAGCTGAGTGGGAACAACTAACATATTTTCGCCACACTCTGTTGAATTACTTTCTAGAGTTTTATAATCCTTTCCATTATTTCAGCTGACAGCTCTTTTGTTGGGGCCATACTTCCTGTCAGTGACGCCGTCGCAGCAGCTTGTTTTGTCTTCGTTTCAAACTTTGGAACAGTTTGAATATTTACATCTATGCAGACTTTTGTTTCAGAAATGCATTTAAATGGTGTACATACCTCTAGGAGGCACTCATCTATTTATTGATCTATTTCTTTTCAAGTTTTTTGCTGGCAAGGTTCATGTCACTTTGATGGTGCTGATGAATGCCTCCATAAGCTTTTACCACTAGAGAAGTCACTTGTTAACATATTCCTTAAGAAGGTGACATGGCAACATCATAAAAAAGTAAAAAGAAACCTTCTGGTTAATGGTTATTCATGCAGACACGTCAGGGTAGTTTTACTTACTACCTTTTAGAAAATGCTTATTTACACAAAGAATCAGAAGTACAGTGCTGTTGGTTCAGTAGGCTCGTCAAGGAAACAAATAAAGGGTTGCTTTATACCTGAGCACATGTTGAATGTTTAAATGTGGAACCAAGTGCACAAAGCCATGTTCTGTAGGACAGCTTTAAAAAGACGCACCAGGCCAAAACAGGCTTTGGCATTGTCCGCATGTCCGGACTTATCACTATATAGTGGTTATCTCATTTTAAATGAGTGTCCGAACGTCCAGTGCAGAGGTCACGGATTAGCAGACTACATTTCGGATCTGGACCCACCTGCTGGCTAATCCGGACCCGACCTGATTTAAAACATTTCTAAATTACTGCATGTTATCCAACGACAGTGTCTAAATTCACTTGCGCCTCTTCTCCTGTTAATATGGTAAAGCCATCAGGAGCGCCTGGGACCAGGCTACACGTGAGGTCATGGGGAAATCGCTCAGTGGGCAGAAGCAAGGACGCAAGGATGCACAAGGATTCTTCTTCCTCTTCCTCTCAGATTTAAACACAGAAGCACGGC